CTAGCGATGGCCTCCAATCTAGTAGGGATGGCCTCCAACCTACTAGGGATGGCCTCCAACCTACCCTCCAATCTACTAGCGATGGCCTCCAACGGGCGTCCGGAATTTGACCCACAACCATGAGGAAATGTGTGAGTCGTTGATTGGACTTTGTGCGGTGCAAAAGCCAAGGCAGCCAACTCTCCGGCCACCTTAGCCAGCTCTTGCGAGACCAGACAAGCTTTACTAGGTGCAGCACTTCTTCTCTTCTTGCAAGCAAGTTTGATAACTTTGAATTTGCTGAGGCCTAGTTCTGCTTCTTTGGTACTGCCAAGCATGAAAGCCTTTGGTCATTGTTCAAAACATTGGCCATTTTTCGCTTTTGTTCCTAGGAGGCGCCTGATTCTCTAGCATTGTTCATTCATTGGATTGTTTTTCAAGAATTCAGTCTGCAGTCTTGAACCAATTGTTTCTTCTTTGCTCATCAGTGCAGCCAAGCTCTAAAGCCATATTTGCAGAGTTGCTTTGCTATTTGCGCCAAGCGCAACGAGGGCAAACCGACTTCATGGCAGCTAGGAATTATGCCAACTTCATGCCAAGCATGATCATCTCGCCCGAGCTTCGGAGCTCGAGGTCTTTTGCTAATATCAGGCCTACGTTGTCGACGTAGTTCGTAGCAAACCAAGTCTTAACACCCATGCGGACGACAAAAGGACACCCATTGGACTGCATCGCAGTCCAGTCACGCAGCACAGCCAGTAAAGTGTTCCTGTTGATGTTGGCCGGTAGCCATTTCTTTTTGCTCAAGATGGATGAAATAGACCTGGAAGAAAGGTGGTTCCCTGGCTGATATCTCATTTTATCCCGGCTGGTTGGCAAGTAGCCACTTGAGGTTAGAGGTGGACTCCAACTCCCGATGCTGCTTCGGATGTCGCTGGAGGTACCCCTGTGACAACAAAAGCCTGCTACACTTCTGCACTTGGTGCTTCTCCAGTGCTTCTCCTGTTTCTCAGGTACTTGGTGTACGACACTCAAGCAGATGCGACCTGTTTGGAGGATACTTTCTTTTTGTTGTCATGCTGGGCCTCACACGATCGACCTCATGGTGAAAATTCCTTTTGCCCTTCATCCTATTCCGAGTTGGTGTGATTTCAATCCATTTGGCGACGCTGGCAGGAGTGCTGGTGATATGCTAAGTATGCCCTCGGCGAGCCTCGTATTGTCTATGCCATGCCATCTATGCCACCATTCAACGAATACCTCTTTTTGTTGTGGTGCGTTCTGAGCACCGCCTTGCAGCGTCGAATGTCCTTGAGGTTTGGATGGTCTTCCTGGGCGGAGCATTCTGGATATGGCACGCATTGACGTGACAGGCATAAACCCAAGTGGCATTTGCCTTGCAAAATTGCCAAATGCATGATTGCTACATTGCCCAGTGCAGGCGTCGTCAAAGGGGACAAGTGAAGCATTGCCAGCTTCAGATGCCGTGGTAGATGCTGAGAAACCCCTCTTTGCTTCTAATTTCCGAGTTAGGGTCACCAAGACTGAAATGTGTCTGGTGCACTCCAGCTATGTACATAGAAGAGGATTCAAGGAACCTCCAAACTGCCTGCAAACCGATCACTGGCGCATTGGTGCTTTTACACAAACACCTGTGGATTCAAACACCACTTTCAAGTCTTCGTTTGATGTGACTTGCTCCAAGACTTGCTCTACCGATTTACTCTTGTTACAGGCAGTCCAATGACCGGACCGCCAAGCCTTGGAATGTCCGGATGCTTGGAATGCGGGCAGCATCGCTCACTTAGCGATGGCCTCCAACCTAATTGGAATGGCCTCCAACCTAATTTCGGTGGCCTCCAGCCTAACAGCAATCGCTCACTTTCCTTTCGAAGCTTTCTTCTTCCCTTTCTATTTCGGTGGTGGATGCGATGTCTTGACAGAAGCAAAGGCCTCAGCCAATGGTCACCCCTGGAGCGCCGAGCTTTAGGCCTAAGAAATGACGAATTGAGTTATGGTGAAAGCTTTGTCGTTAACATACTTTGTTTCCTATCGCTTTCCTTCCTTCCTTCCTTTCTTTCTTTCTTTCTTTCTTTCCTTCTTTCTTTCTTTCTTTGCTTTTCTATCCTTTGCTTTTCTATTGTTTGCTATTTTTCTTTTCTTTTCTTTTCTTTCCTTTCCTTTGCTCTTCTTGATGTCCAGCATATTCTGTAGAGGCCTGGCTTTCCAGGCTGTTCTGGACAAGGTGGGTGTGCAAAGAATCAATGCGAAGACAGACCTCTTTGGATTCTTCTTTGTGTGTACTGGCCCAGGCTTTTCGTGTGGACCTCCGTTTCCTGGAGCGCTGCTTCAAGCTCAACTTTTGCGAAAGCTCGTTACAGCTACTGTACTGTAGTCGACTGTAGTATGGCTAAAGCTGCACTGCCAAGGCGACCTGGAATTTCGCTTGGTCAGGCAGGATGTGAACCAAAAGTGTTGCAACTTCTGCTGTTGAGTGATGAGGCTGCAATGCTGGGCCCGCCAAACGGCCAGAAGGCCAGCTGATTCAAAACAAGGTAAACCGGAAGCATTCTTCTTTAGGAGCAGGTTTCAGCAAAGAACACGAGTTCTTTTTGCATGTCGCGGAACTTGAAAGGCCCTACTAGTCCTTCGTCCGGAGGATGATATAGAGGTCCCGGTCGTTGAGGAGAGCATATTTGGAAACTTGGATGTTTCATGTGTGCAAAGTCAAAGTGTCCTCCAAACAACACACCATCGGACCTTGAAAGGACTGGCAGGATGATCCAGAGAAGGCATCCGGCGTCCAGAAGACGTCTCTATGCACTGCAAAACACCTTTCAGCAATGGAACGACATCGAACGCACTTGGATGGCAAACGAATTGGGAAGGGTTCGTTTGAAGCAATGAAGACATTGGGCAAAGCCCTAAAACAAGTAAACAACACAGCAGGTGGAGGAGTCAGAGCTGCTGTCTCCACAGGCAATGTTCCAAGTCACTTTCTTCTCGTTGAAAAGTGTTTGGAGGTGAATATGATTTTTTGAGGATGAAAAACTGCCACCTGAGCTGCTTGAAAGCTGCCTCCTGCCTTGTGCTGAAATGGTAATGTGTTTGATCCATTCATTTGTCTACAGAGGTTCACCTTTCGGATGCGTTTGGTTAGTGCTCTCCCAGGCGATGGACTCATCCACTGCAGAATGGAGAGCCTGAGCAGGGTCGCTTACGAACCTAAATATGTTGTACTAATTGTACTACGCTACCTTTCAGAAAGGTTTGTAAGAATTGATTGGCTGAGGAAGCTGCCCAAGGGAATTGAGGCAGTGGCCAGACTCTCAGATCTCATGTTAGGGCGACACATATCACTTGTTCTATGCAGCCACATTCAGCCTGCTTTCCAAGCATCATCCAGCATGCTGAGACCGCCCGGAAGATCTACCGACACCGGCAGCAGCAGATCGTCGATGCCTTTGACAGGCTTGCAGCTGTTGACATCTGTGGTTTCATGCTGTGAATGGTCTGCCTTCTACGTCTAGATAGACATAGATAGCATCTCTCCCTCTCTCAAGACAAAAACATCTGGAGGCTGTTCACTGACGTGGTGGACAAAGCCCTCTTTGAGTTGGCCAAAGAGGCGCACACAACCAGTTTATGTAGACAGTTAGAGCAAAACTTTTTCGAAGAAAGCAAGGCCTCCACCCGAGCTTGGAACTTCCTCATGTTATATTCCTAAAGCAGCCATTTGTACAAGTGCTGCAGCATGCTATTGCAACCATTGCCTTGCGCTGAAAAACCACCAACATCCAAATCCATCCTTGTTTTTCATTGAATTCTAAAATCCATTATCTCTTTTTTTGAGTTCTCTTTGTTTTTGTTGAAATTCACCTCATCCCTGTGGACCCCGTAGTGTGGACTCTCAAGGTAGAGTAAAATAGCCCGCTTACCGGACTAGCAGGGTTAGCTAGGTAGCTAGTGAAGTTAGAGCTGATCCTGTAAAATACAGGTTATCAGCCGTAGGCTAACTAGATTAGAGCTATGGACCCGATGGATGACGACGTCGCACCGAACTCGTACAGAAGTGGCTTTGACATCGTTCCGAGTATACCCAATAGTTTGGACGCAGTTCAACGACATGAACATGCAGTCGCACAAGTGGCGGCAATGGATCCAAGGGTAGCTTCGGAGGTATACCAAGAGATGCTAAACAGTGGTGGTAGTGTTACTCTCCAAGAGGCGACACAAGCTACCCTAGCAGGTATGCCGTCAGCCGCCGTAGCTGGTGCGCCAACAGTAAACAACTTGTTGGCAATGACCAGGTTCAACGTCGTCAACCTGAACGCTACATCAGGTGATGAGGAACTACGACGGTAACTACAGCAACATGAGTTGTTGCTCAACGAGCAAGCTAGGCGTGAAGCTGAATTCGAAGCGCTACGTTTCAGGCACATCTACGAGAGGGAAGCTTCTGAATCGATAGCAGCAACAAAGGCCGCAGCAGAGCAAGCAATGCTGAATTTGCAACAGAGAGCTCAACAACAGGAACATAATGTTCAGCAGTTGGCTCAGCATCACGACAACGTTGCGATCAAAAGGTTGCAAGGCACGTTGGAGGAGCAACGAGAGCATTTTCAGCAGAGATTAGCTCAGGCTACGTCTGCTCATGAGAAGGTTCTACAGGAAAAGAATGCCTTGGCAGAGGAAGGCAATGCTTTTGTCGAAAGGATGAGAACTGAACACCGGCAGTACACAGAGCAGCAAGAAGCAAGGCTAAAGGCAGCTTTAGAGGCAACAGACAAAGCTCGATCCACATCAGCTGAAGAAGCCCGTGTTGCTATAGATCTTGACTTCAAGCGTGAGGAACTGTCCAGTTCATTGGCAATTGCACAAGCAAAGATCAAAACACTCCTTGGTGAAATGTAGTCGACTAAGTCACAACATGCGGTTGACCGGGAAACCCAAGAGCAAACAATCATTGAACTCCGCAAGGACAATGCTTTGTTGAAGGGTGAGATGGATGAACTCAGACGTGTTGTACAGGCCTTATCGGACAGGGAAGAGGAGCGCAAAGAAGTCGAGCGCAAGGCTCAAGCCGCTAGCCCAGCTAAACCAGGGCCGCTGCAACCCGAGCAACCTCCAACTCATGTTCAACCGAATGTTCATCCCATTGGTCAACCTCGTTCATTTGAACCTCTTCGTACGGAAGGCACAGTTCCTGCAACCCTAGAAGGTTCGCCCTCAGACCCAACTGGAATTCCTCTGAAGACAGCTATGGATGCTTCAGCAACAAGTCGCAACACAGGATTTCCTTCAATGTTCTCTGGGACAGGGGCGCAAGCAACGGAACAGGCCACCGCCTCTACTGACAGGCAACAGTTTAAGCAACCTGATCCGCGGATGGATTACAAGATGAAGTCGGCGCAGTACAACTTCAGCGACGACCCTCTGTACAAAAGCTCCTTTAATCAGGATGCAACGCAGAAGAAGGATGATCGCAAGGACGAAGGGCCGGCATCTCAGGTAAGAACTCCACAAGATCAAGATTTGGGGGAAATAATCAAGAGAGCCTTGCTAGAGGGGTTTAAGGGCACAAAGAGCAAAGATTCCGACAAACCCAAAGCAAAAGAGGCTGATAAGATAGATCTCCCTGAATTCCCAAGTCCTGACAGGTACCGCACTTGGAGGGCCGCTGTTCGCGAAGCGATACGGTCCGCGTCCGACGACCCAGACGCTGCATTTGCATGGGTGCTTGAGGTGTACGCCGTTCGGGAGGACAAAGCAAAGCTTTGTTCCGAACTCGCTGACCCAGGCAAGTTTCGGACCTTAGACACGAAACTCCTTGCTGCTTTGACTAAGGTTGCCAAAGGCGAACTGTCTCAGCAAATCCTTAATTACAAGGAATCTGAGGCACAGCAGGGTAGGATCGTTCGTGGTCGTCAGGTTTTGCTCATGTTTGAAGTCCACTTCAAGACCAGTGAAGAAGCGGGTGCACTGTATGGTACGGAAGACCTCCTGAAAATCTCGCTTGACAGCGATGACTTGAAATCCTTTCTAAGGAAGTGGGAAAGTGTGTTGACCGGAATGAGTCATGTCCCTGACCCGGCAACCCTCAAAGACTTGTTCTATAGAGAGGTCAGGAAGTCCCGTAAACTCAGATTTGACCTTGATGTTTATGAACGGGCAGCGGAAGGAAGTAGTGACAGAAGTTATGAATTCCTCATTAATTCTGTTCGACGGTATCTTGATCGCGAAAGGCTAAGGACCAATCGTGAGAAGATCTCACAATCGCATGCTGCAAAGTATGCAAATCCGGCGCCGCACGACAAGCGTACGCGAAGCCCAAGTTATGGCAAAAGGAGCGCAAAGGGTGACGGAAGCAACCAATGCTATGAGTTCGCCAAGACTGGCAAGTGTAAGTACGGAAGCAAATGCAAGTACTCCCACGACTCTAGTGCACGTCCCCGCTCCCTTAGCCGGGAGTCGTCACGATCGCGTAGCGCAAGTTCAAGTGGTCGATCCTCTTTCAGGTCAAGCCGTTCAAGAAGCTCGTCAAAACCATCCTCCCGCAATAGTTCAAGGAACTCATCAAGAAGCTCGAGTAGAGGCAGAAAATCTGAGAAGCCATGCAGGTTCTTTGCCAAGGGCAACTGCAAAAGGGGTGAGAAATGTCCTCTCAAGCACGGTGAAACGGCTACACCGGCCCCACGCAGAAGAAGTCCCTCTCCCGCGGCTAAAAGGTCTAAGGACAAGAAATCCAAGAAGGACAAAAAGGACAAGAAGAGCAAACGGGAAAAGAAAGAGAAAAGTCCAAAGGCCAGTCCATGTATTCAAACAGGTTTCGCAATGTCTTGCTTAGCAGCAACCGCTACTCGGACCCACAAGAGTAAGGACTACTGGGAATTCTCCAAGGATGGCACTGAGTTGATTAGGCATCATTTAAAGCCTAGGAACAGGTCGTTTCTCCCAACACGTAAATCCTGTCCAGTGGAGTCATCTAGGTTGGAAAACCGGTTTACCATGGTGGTCACTGATTCAAAGGGAAAGAGTAGGACATTGATGGGTGATTGGAAGAAACATCCAAACGCGAAACAAGGGTTTGATTGGACTGGGAAGTCAATTTTCCGTGTTGTGCAAGAGAAGCGAATTCGTTTCGAATTCAAGCCTGAGGTACACACCTTTCCTGTTTGGAAGGAAATGTACCGGCATGTAGTGAATAAGAGCAAAAGGCGGAACCTGTTCCGGACCACTGAGGAATGTCCAAAGTCCCGCGAGTGTGACACTAAGGACGCCATTTTGGCAGCGGAGTCGCTTAGGCAGATGCTCGATTCGATGGATACCGAGGAGCCTGCGTGTGACTTCCTTTGTGAACATTCCCCAGAAGGCCCCGATGATTTGTGCTGCACAAAGTGTAGGACGGTCACCGGTGAACAGGTACCTTCATGCGCTCGCCTAACAGCGATGCCTAGCACAGTTGGAATGGAGAAGTGGCTGGGCGATACCGGAACTGACCAGGACATTGTGGGCAAGGACTCAAAGACAGTCAGCCGGGCCACTAAGATCTTCAAGTCCAATGAGCCAATATCCCTCACTACTGCCAACGGACCAATCACTGCCGAAGATGTAGTTGAGGTGATTCTCCCGGGGCTATGTGAACCCTTTAATCCCTACATTCTCCAAAGCACTCCCTCTGCGCTCTCGATTGGTTTGAGGTGCTTAGAACAGGGATATGATTTTGTTTGGGGAAAGGACACTACCCCCATATTTCTTCGACCTGATGGAAAATGTGTTAAATTCAAATTGCAGGGCAGGGTTCCATACATTGATGAGACGTGCGCCCCATTTTCAATTCCCGAGTCACTCAGGACACGACTTACCAAGGTACTCGACTCCATCCACCAGTTCACCATCGACCAGGGCCTTGCTATGGCCAGCCACGAGTCCGAACCCGAGAATGAACAAGGAGACGAAGATGAGGCTGGCGTAGCTGCCAATGCCGATGAGGAACAGGGAGATGAAGAGGAGAGCGACCCGGAGGTTGAAGTTCCTTTTGATTTTGAGGATGTTCCCGTAGCAGGGGAAAAGACCGAAGAACAACTTCGCAAAGAAGCAAAATCAGGGGTCACACACAGACCAAAGAACCCCTACTGCGATATTTGTAGCGAAGCGAAGATGCTTGCACCCTACGGTAGAAGCGTAGGCGGATCACAACATGTGTTGGCCCGTGGTTTTGGAGATCACATTGTCTGTGACCATGTTATCCCCAAAGATATTGAAGAGGGGATAGAAGGCCAAACCTCGATGTTGGTGATCAAAGATGTGTATACTCAGTACCGTTGGAACAAAACGGCCGATTCCATAGTGAGGGCCTTCAAACATTTTCTAAAGACTTCTGACATTGTTGGTATAGTATACACTGACAACGCTCCAGAGATGCTGGACGCCATCGAAGAGCTCGGTTTTAAGCACCAAACTTCTGTTGAGTACCAACACTCCACCAAGGCGGTTGTCGAGCGCGAGGTCCGCGCCATTTTGGAAGGGGCGCGCTCCAATCTCCTTCAGGCTAACATGCCTTTGTCATTGTGGCCTTATGCATCCAAACATCATGCAATGGCCATCAACATTGTCAAACAATTGAAT